TTTTTGTTTTTTTTCTACTTCTCAATCACCAAAATTTTGGTTTCTTCACCTCTAAGAAACTAAGTTAAGATACTACAAATGAATGACCCATAATTCATACATAGGAATAACAATTAAAATTAAATAATTATGCTCAATATTGTTTATATTCATCGTATTCACATTGACTTGTGATATATTACATCTAAAAATATGCAATATTTTTCTTCACTATCCCAAAGTTTTAGGTATTTTTATCACTAAGCAACAAACATGATAGACTATAGTAGATGAAAAAAATTAATTATATTTTATTTTTATACTCGATCACAAAATTTTAGGTTTTTCCACTATAAAACAAAGTTAAAAGACTATAATCCATGACATATATTTTATATAAAATAGGTAATAATTAAAATTAATAAGCAGGCTAAAATTTATTTATATTTACCATTTTCACACTGAATTATGGTTTATAAGATGTAAATATATTCAAAATGTTTCTACTACATCACAAAATTTCATTTTTCTTCGACACTAATCACATAATTAAAAGAGAATAAATCAATGACAAATAAATTATATCTACATGGGTAATCACTAAAAGTAAATATTTAAGCTCAATGTTATTTGTGTTCACGATAATCATATTGTATTATGGTGTAATAGATGTAAACAATTTCTATATTTTTCTTCTTCTCCATCACAAAAATTTTGGTTTCTTCACGTCTAAGAAATTAAGTTAAGAGACTACAAATGAATGACCCATAATTTATACATATCAATAAGAATGAAAATTAAATAATCAAACTTAATATTATTTATATTCATCGTATTCACACTGACTTGTGATATATTACATCTAAAAGTAATCAATATTTTTCTTCACCATCCCAAAGTTTTAGGTTTTTTTATCACTAAGCAACAAACATAATAGACTATAGTAGATGAAAAAATTATTTATATTTTAATTTTCTACTCGATCACAAAATTTTAGGTTTTTCCCCACTAAAAAACAAAGTTAAAATACTATAATCCATGACATATATTTTATATAAAATAGGTAATAAATAAAATAAATAATCAAGCTAGAATTTATTGATATTTATTATTTTCACATTGAATTATGGTTTATTAGATGTAAGTATATTCAATATGTTTCTTCTCCATCGTCGAATTTCATGTTTCTTAGTCACTAAGCCACAAAGTCAAAAGACTATAAATGAATAGCAAATAAATTATATCTACATGGGTAATCACTAAAATTAAATATTTAAGATCAATGTTATTTGTGTTTACCATAATCTCATTATATTATAGATGTAAACTATTTTTGTTTTTTTTCTACTTCTCAATCACCAAAATTTTGGTTTCTTCACCTCTAAGAAACTAAGTTAAGATACTACAAATGAATGACCCATAATTCTTACATAGGAATAACAATTAAAATTAAATAATTATGCTCAATATTGTTTATATTCATCGTATTCACATTGACTTGTGATATATTACATCTAAAAATATGCAATATTTTTCTTCACTATCCCAAAGTTTTAGGTATTTTTATCACTAAGCAACAAACATGATAGACTATAGTAGATGAAAAAAATTAATTATATTTTATTTTTATACTCGATCACAAAATTTTAGGTTTTTCCACTATAAAACAAAGTTAAAAGACTATAATCCATGACATATATTTTATATAAAATAGGTAATAATTAAAATTAATAAGCAGGCTAAAATTTATTTATATTTACCATTTTCACAATGAATTATGGTTTATAAGATGTAAATATATTCAAAATGTTTCTACTACATCACAAAATTTCATGTTTCTTTGACACTAATCACAAAGTTAAAAGAGAATAAATCAATGACAAATAAATTATATCTACATGGGTAATCACTAAAATTAAATATTTAAGCTCAATGTTATTTGTGTTCACTATAATCATATTGTATTATGGTGTAATAGATGTAAACAATTTCTATATTTTTCTTCTTCTCCATCACAAAAATTTTGGTTTCTTCACGTCTAAGAAATTAAGTTAAGAGACTACAAATGAATGACCCATAATTTATACATATCAATAAGAATGAAAATTAAATAATCAAACTCAATATTATTTATATTCATCGTATTCAGACTGACTTGTGATATATTACATCTAAAAGTATTCAATATTTTTCTTCACCATCCCAAAGTTTTAGGTTTTTTTATCACTAAGCAACAAACATAATAGACTATAGTAGATGAAAAAATTATTAATATTTTAATTTTCTACTCGATCACAAAATTTTAGGGTTTTCCCCACTAAAAAACAAAGTTAAAATACTATAATCCATGACATGTATTTTATATAAAATTGGTAATAATTAAAATAAATAATCAAGCTAGAATTTATTGATATTTACCATTTTCACATTTAATTATGGTTTATTAGATGTAAGTATATTCAATATGTTTCTTCTGCATCGTCGAATTTCATGTTTCTTAGTCACTAAGCCACAAAGTCAAAAGACTATAAATGAATAGCAAATAAATTATATCTACATGGGTAATCACTAAAATTAAATATTTAAGATCAATGTTATTTGTGTTTACCATAATCTCATTATATAATAGATGTAAACTATTTTTGTTTTTTTTTCTACTTCTCAATCACCAAAATTTTGGTTTCTTCACCTTTAAGAAACTAAGTTAAGATACTACAAATGAATGACCCATAATTTATACATATGAATAACAATTAAAATTAAATAATTATGCTCAATATTGTTTATATTCATCGTATTGACATTGACTTCTGATATATTACATCTAAAAATATGCAATATTTTTCTTCACTATCCCAAAGTTTTAGGTATTTTTATCACTAAGCAACAAACATGATAGACTATAGTAGATGAAAAAAATTAATTATATTTTATTTTTATACTCGATCACAAAATTTTAGGTTTTTCCACTATAAAACAAAATTAAAAGAGTATAATTCATGACATATATTTTATATAAAATAGGTAATAACTAATATAAACAATCAGGCTAAAATTTATTTATATTTACCATTTTCACACTGAATTATAGTTTATAAGATGTAAATATATTCAAAATGTTTCTACTACATCACAAAATTTCATGTTTCTTCGACACTAATCACAGAGTTAAAAGAGTATAAATCAATGACAAATAAATTATATCTACATGGGTAATCACTAAAATTAAATATTTAAGCTCAATGTTATTTGTGTTCACTATAATCATATTGTATTATGGTGTAATAGATGTAAACATTTTCTATATTTTTCTTCTTCTCCATCACAAAAAATTTGGTTTCTTCACGTCTAAGAAATTTAGTTAAGAGACTACAAATGAATGACCCATAATTTATACATATCAATAAGAATAAAAATTAAATAATCAAACTCAATATTATTTATATTCATCGTATTCACACTGACTTGTGATATATTACATCTAAAAGTATTCAATATTTTTCTTCACCATCCCAAAGTTTTAGGTTTTTTTATCACTAAGAAACAAACATAATAGACTATAGTAGATGAAAAAATTATTTTAATTTTAATTTTCTACTCGATCACAAAATTTTACGTTTTTCCCCACTAAAAAACAAAGTTAAAATACTATAATCCATGACATGTATTTTATATAAAATCGGTAATAATTAAAATAAATAATCAAGTTAGAATTTATTGATATTTACCATTTTCACATTGAATTATGGTTTATTAGTTGTAAGTATATTCAATATGTTTCTTCTGCATCGTCGAATTTCATGTTTCTTAGTCACTTAGCCACAAAGTCAAAAGACTATAAATGAATAGCAAATAAATTATATCTACATGGGTAATCACTAAAATTAAATATTTAAGATCAATGTTATAATGAATAATTAAATAAAAAAAGTCATTTAATAATGGACAAATTACTTATCCATTTATCTCTCCTATTAAATGACTTTTTTTATTTAACTTGTGCGAAATATATTAGAATTATATAATAAATCGTAGCTAAAAAAATTAAACTAAAAAATTAAACTAAAACATTGAAATTAAACTAAAACATTGAAATTAAACTTATTTATATATATATATATATATATATATATATATATATATATATATATATATATATATATATATATATATATATATATATATATATATATATATATATATATATATATATATATATATATATATATATATATATATATATATATATATATATATATATATATATATATATATATATATATATATATATATATATATATATATATATATATATATATATATATATATATATATATATATATATATATATATATATATATATATATATATATATATATATATATATATATATATATATATATATATATATATATATATATATATATATATATATATATATATATATATATATATATATATATATATATATATATATATATATATATATATATATATATATATATATATATATATATATATATATATATATATATATATATATATATATATATATATATATATATATATATATATATATATATATATATATATATATATATATATATATATATAAAGTTGTTAAATAAATTAGTAACTTTGGTCTCAAAATTGAGGATAACTTTATAATTTCATATTTATATTTTTATTCATTTACTATTATTATTATTATTACTATTATTATTATTATTATTATTATTATTATTATTATTATTATTATTATTATTATTATTATTTAAGTTATTTTAATTATTATTATATTTATTTTAATTCATAATTCTTATTTCTTTCTCTCTTCTAACCACTATTTATTAGATTTTTAATTTATTTTTCATATATTTTATTGATAGTGGATAATACAATCAATCTTATTATAAAGCAATATTATATTAGAATTCCATAATAACACACATAAGTTTTATTTCATACATAATTAACTTAAATTAAAACAAACATAGAATTAGAATCATAAGCTAGGAATTCTAGCCACTGCCACCAAGCTGAGCCTTAAGCTTCTTAATTTGTGCAGGATCAAGGAGAGTAGTTTTTTGAATGATTTGAGTTGGTAAGCTATTTCTAAATAATAAATCAATAAGTAATTGAATGCTAGGATTTGAGCTACCATAAACAGCATAAACAATAGCTTTTGTCGAACCAGTATTAACTTGAAAATGCAATAGTCCTGTTGGAAAAACGAAAACATCACCAACTTTAAGATTTTTCTCATAAAGTTTTGTAGGTGTTATAAATCCAGCAATAATTTGACCTTGAGCAACGATTATTAATTCAGATGCATCAGGATGAATATGCATTGGAATCGTTCCATTTATTTCAAAATCTAATCTTGCTGCAGAGATTCCGAGTCCATTGAGACCTGGTATATCCTTGACAAATGCACTGGTGAGTCCAGTATGAAAAATGTTGTTTGTGTCTGAAGCTACAAGACTAGACGATGAAAAATCATCTGAGGTTACATTTGTTTCTGACTTGCATGGATAGCCTGAAGGGTTTTTTGGAAACATAAAGTCGGCTACACAGAAATCATTGGTATATGTTGCATGGGAGGTATATGAGAGAAGATAAAAAATGAGAAGAATAATGTGAATCATCTTCATATTAAAATGGATGTGTGATGATAGAATAAAAAAATCAGGATTGCTATGTTGACACCCATCTTTACACCCTACACCTCAATTACTGTTCACAAATACTTGAACAAATTCCCCAGAACATGGTTAATAGTGTGTATTTTATTGGTTAATGAAGTAGTGAAAGTGGTTAATAAATTATAGGTAAAATAATTGGTTAATAATGTAGATTTTTGTGGTTAATGCAACTGTGAAGTTGGTTAATGCGCAATCTTATATTTGTGTTATAAAATAAATTTTAAAAATAAAACTTTTTAAAAAAAAAAATTAATATTTTAAAAAAATATATTATTTTAATAAAAAAACACTGTTCACCGTATAAATACGGTGAATAGTGCATACGGTGTAAGTATTGGGTGTAGGAAATGGTGTAGGAATAGCATTTTTCTAAAAAAATTGGTTTGTATTTATAGTGATAATTTTGTTAGAAAGTGGACATGGAAGATCTATGGAGTCTATTAACCTCACAAAAGGGTTAGTATTATATAGTGGACCAACCAAGGTGGTGTTCCCCCTAAAACTCCCTCTCACCTAGACTTTAATTTCCTGCTGAAACTAAAGCACACAGTTTGACGCAATTTTGCATCAGAGAGGATAATTATTGAGCAAGTGGTTCAGAATAATACACGTATGAGATCGACATCCTTGATCTGTTATAGTGTCCTAGTGAAATAGAGAGAAATCCAAATCCTTCCAACCCACCAAAGAGTATTTTGGTAATGAAAATTATTCCAATGTAGAATAAGGAAATATGTGTTAGAAAATTAATTCAAATCAAGTGAATCGAGCCTAGAATCGTGAACGAAATCACTTTTTTTAAAAGTATTTTAAGCACTTTTTTGCATGTCTTAGAGTCGGAACGCAGATATATCCAAGATAATTCAGTCTTATATTGAATTTGCGCAAGACCGACGAAAACTCGATTATGTAGCGTTTGTGATGTTTTTTTTTAATTTCGAAATTATGTATTTATAGGTCATGTATGTGTTGTTTCACAAGGTTACGACCCTTGATGAAACAAGACCTTTGTTAATACAGTTAAGTATCTTTCGATTTAAAACTTAACCTTAGTAAAAACAACGCAAAGTCTAATCGGAATGTTAGGTAACAATACTTTTAATTCATCAATCCATGTGAATAGACCGGCGTTACCTCACACACATTCTTTAAGATTCTTCGCCTACATTTCTCACCTAGCATTTATTTATGGTCATATTCTTTCCTGTTTCATGAATTTTTCATGAGAGAAACTTCAACTCTCACATTGAGACGACACCATCTCGAAATTCACATAGGTAGATTTCATATTGTATTCTTTTTCATGAGACACGTACCCTCGATATTTAACTTCATTAAGAGTTTAAATAAAAACTCAACACTCATTTTAAAGGTCAACATTAGCACAAAATGTTCGACAAACATGCAAATCAATAACTTGTTGTTACACATTGAATTTTGAGGTTAATGTTCTACTAATATAAGATTGGGTTGTCGCTGTTGTCGGAGCTCTTACTCAAGGAGTTTCAACCCCATGCCTCTCGAGGTTGTTTTTACTAAGTTTCTGGCCAGTGGTTTAGTAAATGGATCAAGAAAATTATAGCTCGATCGTATATATGTGAATGATTACATCCTTAATCAGTTTTCTCACGAAAGAATGTCTAAATTCTACTTGCCTAGACTTTCTGTTATACACTTATTGTATGCTTTAGTTAAAGTGGTTTGACTACCGCAATGTATCAACACATTTGAAACGTTGTCTTTAACCAATAGAATTTCCAACAGAGGGTCCCTCAATCATTCAACTTCTTCACAAGCGAAAGCAAGAGCCTCAAACTCCTATTCTATGGTTGAGAGAGTGATCCACATTTGTTTCTTGCTCTTCCAAGAAGTTTCACCCTATACTAGTGTAAATATTCACCCAAATGCATAATTTTGATATTCAATACTCGATATCCAACTCGCATCGGTATATCCTTCTTATATGGCAGGAAATCTACCATAATGGAGACCAAGATTTTTGGTCTTCATAAGATATCCGAAATTTTCTAATGATGGCTTTCTAGTGCTCGCCATTTGGATTACTAGAAAAATCTACTCATTTTACTAACTAAAAATGCTATGTTGGGTCTAGTACATTGCATGCCATTGCATATTTCAATTGAGCCACAACTTATCCATCATCCTTTTGAAGTTTGACATTAGGAGTGGTCACTTCCTTAAAACGTAAGTGTTTGAACTTATCAAGCACTTTCTCAATATAGTGTATTTGACTAAGTTCATAACCCCCACTATTTCGCTTTACTTTGATCCCGAAAAATGTGTCAACTAGTCCAAGATCATTCATCTTGAATGTGAAAGTTAGAAACCTCTTTGTTTCTAAAATTTGTTTCATCTCGTTGCTAATGATCAATCATATAATCAATATGGAGACAAATTAATATCAGAATATTCTTAGACAACTTTGTGCACAAATACTTGTCACAAGAATTAGATGAAGAAGTTTTTTAGATAATCATGCATGATGATGCAAGAATATTTTTAGATGAAGTGAGATATGAAGTTATGAGCAATTAGTATAAATTTAAATTGCTATGAGTATCTTAGTTACTTGTCTCAAATCTTCACTTAAATTTTTATGTTGAACCTTCTTGATTGACTTCATCATTGATGTGCATGACACTTTTGATCCCTTCTTCTTTAATAATCTTTGTCTTCATCAAAAATGGACTCGATATAGGATATATTCTTCACAATCTCCCCTTTTTTTATGATGACAAACTCTTTTACTTTATTTTTTATAATAATTGAAAAGTTTCCCGTTAAGTTGTGTGTCTCCCCTTAATTGATGAATCTTATAATGACAAAGTTAAACTTTTGATGTCATTGTTTCGGTGCTTACTTTAATTCATACAAGGATTTTGGCAAGCTTCCACACCTTTTTTTCATTACCAAGAAGCACATAATCTTCTGGTTACTCCATGTAAATCTCCTCATCGAGATCTCGATATAAAGTTTTTGTTTTAACATCTATTTGATGAACTATAAGTTCACGCAAAGAAGCTAATTCAAACAATACTCTAATTGTTGCTGTCCTTGCTACTAGTGCATATGTGTTGAAATAATTAACACATTACTTTTGCCTAAAACGCTTGGCTACTAATCTATCATTCTAGGTGTTTAGTGTATCATCACTATGATACTTCCTATTAGATACCTACTTGCATACAACAGGTTTTGATTCTTTAGGTAGATTAACAAGTTTCTAAGTGTGGTTTGACATAATTGAATCCATTTTGTCTTGGATAACATCCATAAAATGAGGAGTCCCTTAAAGCAATTACTTCGTCGAATACACGAACAACTATAGTGGATTTTGAATCAAACCAATTCAAAGGACCTTTCTCCAACAAATAGAAAATATTTGAACAAATTTGAATATCTGAAGTTGTTCTTAAATCAATTTCAGTAGACAATTGTTTAGAAATGTGGTTCGGCCTAACTCAACCCTACAAAACCGGTTGGTAGAGTGAGGATTGTCCCCCCTTATAAACATATGTTCATGCCATATATTGTCCGATGTGGAACTCTTAACACTTTTTTTTTCTTTTTCTAGCAAACAAGTTCGATGAAGAAAAAAAATGTACAAGTATAAAGCAGTCCTGTTAAGAATTAAGAATACAGGAACAATTAAATTTCCCTTGAACAAATTAAATGTATTTTTATAAACGAATATAAACTAATAAGGGAGACGAATGAAGAACCTATGTCGAAAGGTGCCGATACATTGCGATATCCACAGTTATTTAAAACCTTGCCCTGTAGTACGTTTTGTAGGGGTACCCCCAACAAAGGAAAGTAACCCTCCATCATACCCTTCAGGTTCATCGGCATACAAATCCTCCGTACTCCTAAACGCAGCGTGCAACAGAACAACCAAAACCTAACCACAACCGAGACCAACACGTTCACCCAAACACCAGTAAACCCTAATTCCACCACAGTCACCACCGCAAGCACCGCCGCGGAAGCCCTATCGTCGATTGAACGTCCAAACACAACAAGCGGTTCTTCACGGAAGAAGTAGAGGAAAAACCAAGCTACGAGCAAGACCAAGAAAACGATGATCGAGATAGGATGCCATAGGAGACTGAGGAACAAGACAAAGAGGACGATCATGATGTAGTTAATTTTGTAGGGTTGAGTTAGGCCCAACCACATTTCTTAACATGGTATCAAGAGCCTCGTTTAAGATCCGGTGGGCCACCTTCTATGGTTTCCGCTATCGGGCCACCCACCATTTATTTCCACGCTTCAGTTGTCTAGTCCTGAGCGTGAGAGGGTGTGTTAAGAGTCCCACATCAGACAATATATGACATGAACATGTGTTTATAAGGGGGGACAATCCTCACTCTACCAACCGGTTTTGTAAGGTTGAGTTAGGCCCAACCACATTTCTTAACAACAATTGATCTTCTCTTTCAATTTACAATTCAATAATATATAAACCTTACGTGCTCAAAAAGTAATATGAAACTTTTATGAATGATTTTAAAGTTATGTACACTTTCAACATTTTTGAAAAAGAATGAACACTTTGGAAATTATTTGAATTGATGTGAAAAATTAATAATGAAAGAGGTAATTTAAAAACTAATGTATTTTACCTTAAATACATCCTAAAAAATCTCTATGAATTGATTCAAAAGTTGGAGACATTTTCATGAAGGTTTGCAATAGTTTATAATGACAATGGTTCATAAAAAGACATAATTTTGAATTATGTCCAAGATTTGTTAAGTCGGTTTAACGGACACCTGACTTAACAAGTGCAGTACGAATTTTGAATCTCAAATAATTTTTCAAATTTCAAACATCAACAGGTTTTGTTAAGTCGGTTAGGAAATTTTACCACATACCCCTACAATTATACTCATACCCCTACACTAAAAATTTTTGGATCAAAATAC